TTAGGCCCGGGAATTATTTTAAAAATAACAATAAAAAATTATTCAACTATCAATCAATATCAAATTTTCACTAGATTAGATTTCAGAAACATTTCTGAGACTTATATATTTTGCGAAATAATTTTTTTTCTTTTTTGAATAAATACGCATTTATATACAGACAACGTAATAACTAAATAATTTAATAAAATTCTCTTTTTCATTTATATTTAAAACAAATAAAATTTATAATTTAAAATTTTCTTTTAAAAAATCAATAATTACTTTAATTAAAGTTTAAAAAACATCAAGAACTTATTAAAAAAAAAAACTAACCAAATAGCTTCCACAATTTATTAATTTATAATTTTTAAATATACATGATATAACACGTTTAAAGTTCAAAAACCCCTTCATAGAAGAAATACGGTAGCCAACATCAGTAAGAGTATCTTAGTAATATAAGATTGCATCTCACGTTTCAGTGTATTTGTAAAATAATATACTAAAACAAGTTTTAAGAGAAATTCTACAATATTTTGTAAAACCAAAGACGTTATACATTCCAATTTTAAAAAAATGTCGACTTTTTAATTTTTTAAAGTGAGAAGAATTCCGATTTTGCATTTTAGTATATTGAAATTTTAGCCACATCCGAATATTTCCATTTTTACGACTCAGTAGCCTCTTTGACTCATTCAATCATTACAATGTATTGTTTGTAACAAATAATGCATTCGAAGTTTATGATGCTACTAATATATTCTTTACATCTCATTTTACGGCAGAAATGCATATATTACACACTGTATGATGAGTTTTATTCGCAAGTTTTGGTTACTTAAAACGATAGGAGGCGAGTTTCTTTTAGTACAAGGACTTTTACAATACAATATAAAAGTGGAAGTCTAAAAACTGTGATGAATATTGAAGTATTACCCACTTTTTGGGATTGTTAAGATACGTAAGTGTATAACATGATCTAAAAAGAAAGGGAAAAAACAATAAAACAGGGAAAACGGGGAAATTTCGAATGCTTTAGCTGAATAGAATAGGGAAAAATAGGATCATAAAGTAACCTACTGAGTTACATAAAGTCCAGAATTACTTACACAAATGCATGCTTAACTACATAAAGCTAAAAGTAATACTGGGAAACAGTGGAATAATTATTTTAGAGGGTTACCTAAATTTATATAAAATGTTAGCTGAAATAGTTATTTACTAGATTAATTCTTTTCTAATCGTGACTCGAAAAGTGAGATTATTTTGCTACAAATAATTACAAGAAAATATTTTGTTAAAATGAGCACATATAAATGTTTTAACATTTAAAAATACCACAAAACAAAATTACAAGGGAAATTTTTTTTTTTGTCAAAAACTCCTATCAAACGTTAAATTATCTAATAAAAATATAATTCTATTGTATTAAACAACTACACTATTAAAAAAAATATCCTTTCTGATAACATTACAATTATAAATTATAATAAAAAATATTATGTAACATCACAAATTATTTAATTAAAACAATAGGAATATTTATGTGCAACAAGGAGGCACTTTCTTTAACACTAATGGGTTGAAAATTCACACTTTTTCTTCCAGTAAAACTCAACGACTATTTTAAATAAATATTTCGTGATCTTAAACGTCAAATTTTTATTTTACTTTAAAATTCAAATATGCTGCAACGAATAAAAACCAGTTTTATCCACTTTATGTTGTTCAAAAACAAAAACAAAGGAGATGTCATTTATTTGTGAAACTAAGAGAAATTGATAAGCAAAAACTTGAACATTTTACTATTTTCAGTCAAAACATTTTTTTAAATACCTCATTTTATTCAGACTATCCTATAAGAAATATAGAGAGGGGGAGCATAAGAGAAAAAATAAATTTCAAAATCCTGAAAAAAATTTGAAATTACGAGATTTTAATTCATTAAAAAGAAATATTCATAACTAAAAGTGTTTATCTAAAATATCCGAAATGATTATGTACTTTTATCAACATACTTAATATGAGAAAAATAATAAAATCATTCCTTCGATAAATTTTAATCCAAATCCATCTAATATGAGAAGGCCAAGTTTGAAAAAAGTTTATTCAAATTTGGCTTCCAAAATTTTTAATTTTCTTTTGGTTTCAAGAATTTTTTAATTTTTTGTTTTCAAAACTTCTAAGGAGTAAAGGCATATCTTAGTGAATTTCTTTTTCGCTGTGATAAAGCAAATCTTGGTATCTTACAAATAATTCCACTGTGAAGCAATATTTATTATTGCTGGATCTCCACAATTAATTTTATTTAATCAAATAATTTCCACACAAAAAACTAAAAAGCAATGACTGCAAGTAAATAATTTTCATCATTATTTACTGTTTACTTTTATAGTTGTGTCATTTTTTAAAGTGTAAAAGGCATTAAAATTTTTGAATTATGATAATCAGCATAATTTTTTATAATAAAATCTAAAGTTTAAAATAAAACATTGAATAATTTTAGAAAAATAAATATGATACTTAAGTGAATTTTAAAAAAATCAATAATTTTAATTTGATTACTGACACAAATTACCTTTTATAACTTTTCTGAAATAAAAGGTTTATAATTGTAAACAAATCCATGCCTTATAAATAAATCATTATAATATGGGAAGACCAAGTTTAAAAAAAGTTGTTTCAAATTTGGTTTACAAAATTTTTTTAATTTCCTTTTGTTTTTAAAACTTCTAATGAGTAAAGGTTTATCTTAGTGAATTTCTTTTTTGCTGTGATAAAGGAAATATTAGTACTATCTAACAAATAATTCCATTGTGAAGCAATATTTATTATTGCTGTATCTTCACAACTAATTTATTTAATCAAATAATTTCCACTCAATAAACTAAAAAACAATGACTGCAAGTAAATTATTTACTTTTATAGTTGTGTCATTTTTTAAAGTGTAAAATACATTAAAAGTTTTGAATTATGATATCAGCATAATTTATTATAAGATCTAAAGAAAATTAAATTTTAAAAATTGTGAATTTTAATAAAAACAATAATCTTTATTTGATTACTGGGAAAAATTATCTTTTTTAACTTTTCTGTTTTGTAACAAGTTAATAATTGTCAACAAATCCATGCCTTATAAATAAAAAAATAATTTTAAAAATATTTTGAATTTTAAAAATTAGAAATATTTTTTTAATTGATTTGTTCAACTCACTTTAAAAATTTAATCACAAATACAAATTGTTTTTTGAAAAAATCAGTTAATAATGGCTACTTTTCTAAAGCCTAAACCTAAGGCCGAATCAAGAAATTAGGTCACTCCTCAGATTGTTCAGCTCAATCCATTATGCAAAACATACTTTGATTCACAGAAAATTTTCCTTTTTGTAAAATTATGCAGACATGAAATAATAGTTATAAATAATTGGTAAATTTTAGAAGCATTTTGTTGCTATCTGATGACCGTAGCACAATTTCCTCTTTAGTAAAAATACATAAAAGTAAAAATACCTTTAGTACATAAATACAATGTTAACCAGTCTACGCCCTATAAAAGAATAATAAAAAAATCTAATGAATAAAAAATTTAACAAAATCATCATTAATCATTTTAAAATTACAATTAACTCTCACATATGCACCGGTCTAAGGGAACAAGGAAAATAAGAGCATAAATGAAAGAGACACATAAGCAAAAAGCTCATCCGAAATTCTAAAATGCAACAAAAATTGCAATGAGAGCATGAATAAAATTACTTCTACAGATTAAATGATACGTTAATAATGGTTTGGTATTTACTATAACTATACAAGGGGGAAAAATTTTTTAACAAATTTAATAACAATTTGTTTTCTAATAAAATAGCTCATAATAGATGTTTATCTTTCTTTTTGCTGATGAATTTCAAAAAAAGTTTTTTCAAGTTCATACAAATAAGAAAAGTTTCAGCAGCTGAATTAAACTGCAGATAGTCACGAATAGTGTCAATATATTGTTGACACCAGCGTTTCAGCTCAATAACTTATGCAAAATATACTTTGATTCACAAAAAATTTTCCTTTTTGTATAATTATGTAGACATTAAATAGTTAAAAAATAATTAGTTAATTTAGAAGCATTTTGAAATCTGATGACAGTAGAACAATTTTCTCCTCATTAAAAATAATTTTAGTACATCCCATCTTAAATTCTTATTCAAATGTGAACATCTTTTTCAAGTACGTGAAAGAAGATAACTTGCTGAAAAGAAAGAATAAAATGAGAAATATGTTATTGTCATTGCATCAAGCACCTTCGATTTTTAGAATACCTGTTATTTGTAAATTTCTATGATTCCCTCTTCAAGACACAATATTATGTTAATAAAATTGTGAGTGCTCTATATGAAAATATATTTTATAAACCAGGGCTCAAAAAACCAGCCGTCCGCTCGTCTTCGGCGGTCAAAAATTCCCCACGGATAACAAATTTCTCGAATTCGTCATCCGTGCGGACGGCCATTTTCCTGCTAATGTTCGTGATACATTTTCAATTTTCGTTATCTTACTAGAGTCTAGCGCCTCACTTCTAAAATGACCCTCTAATCTAGAAATCCCCTTAATTCTTTTATTACCGTATAATGTAATCCTAGTAACTACTAATTCATTGTGCAATTTATAGAAATGTTTGTAATAAATATGAGAATTATATTTATATTTATTTAGAAGCTATTGGGTTAGTTTCAAAGGAGGATGGATACATTGTTGGACAAGCCGTCCTCGGGGACGAGTAAAATTTCTGAGTTTCCTCGAGCCCTGCTATAAACCATTAAAAAGCATAAAAAATACCTATATACACAACAAAATAACAATATAAATTTAACCCACTACCCATCAACCTCAAAAGCTTGGGAACTTTATGTTACCTTAAAAAGAATTGAAGAAAAACTTCGACATTTTTGTATCAATAGTCCAGAAGCTAATAACTTTTGCTAAGACAAAAATAAAACTGATACCTATTTCAAAGAACTTTTTAACAATAAAATTATAACACTTTTATTTAACAACTCTAATACAATTAAAATTAATTACTTGGAAAATAATGTAAATTACAATAGTTCTCACTGTAATAGTTCTTTTTGAACTGAAAATAAAAAGTTAACAATTTAAAATCCTTGAGGCTCCGTATAAAAAGATAAAATTAAACTTAAGCTGATATATTTGGATGATGCAAAACATGTTAGTTGATTTCAAATGCTAATTCTAATATTAAGATGACATTTTTAGTTATGTAAAAAAAGTTAATTTGATAATCAATCACAAATCAACAAACTATAGGAATAAAGAATGTCAAACCTTGTTAACATCAGCTTGAAGGGGGATAGAAAACTTGTTCACGCTAAAAGTAGTTCATATTATCAGTTCAGAAATTTTTTGATGAAAATCGTACAATACACAGACATTTTCTATTATCTATACTTGTTATTAAACTAATAACTTTAATACATTGCATAATAAATACAACCAATTACTTTTACAAATTACTTTGATTTCATGACCTAATAATCCATTTTGAAATTAACATTTTTTATTAAATATTACATGTGCAACTAAAATATAAACTTTAATTACAAAAATAAAGATTAAATATAAATTTCAATTTAAAAAAAAAAATGAGAAAAACATGTGAATAGACTTCATGAGTAGTAATAGAATTGTAAACTAAATACTAACAGAACTGATAACTTGATTTATATTTTGCAGTTTTACTACATCTTTAAAATAAAAAATGTAAGCAAAAACACAAAAAATGTTAAATAAATCCTATGTATCTCAGGTGGGCTAAGGTGGATTAAAATTCTTCAGATATGGACCTCCAACAGCAAGCCAAAACTCATCTCTATCAGGGACAACAATTGCATACTTAATCATAATACTAGCATACATGAAAATTAACCTCTGACGACTGAAACACCTAATAAGGTGATTCAGTCTCATTTATAATCGAATCAAGTTTTGCACTGAGATACTATAAATAGTAAACTTATCTTATAATGTCCAAGTTTTTTTGTGTTATAAATAACCACTAGTGTAGAGTGCCAATAAATGAAGAAATCACATTGTTTAAAAGAACTAATACTACATAGTTCAATAACAGCATACTTTGATCAAATTTTATTAAATTCTTTTAGGATTGAAAATTTCAATCGTAACATTTAATACAAAATTTAAATAAAATGAAAAAAACTATTTTTGCATCATCCAAATTTAGAAATTATATTTACCGTTTCATTGTGTCAGCAGTAAAAAATATTTTAACAAAAAGAAAAACACATATGATTTTCAATACATACATTTACTACAAATTAATTAATTCTTTGTCTGTTCTGAACAACTGGATTCAATGTAGGATCTAGCTGCTTTTCAGTGTAACAGACTTTTTTTTCAGTTATTCAATTTTTGTGCAAATTTGAACCAATAGATTAACAATTAACAGAAGTTATCAAAGGTAACAAAAAGAGCAGTTATAACAAGATAGCAACTGCAAATAAAATATTATTGTAGCAAGTAAAAGCAGATATTTTCACAGATATTTCATTTATTATTCAACTATTAATTCATGAAAGGTAAAAATAATTCACTACAATTACAGAGATGCCAACTTGCTCCGGACAGCAAATATATATATTAAAGTGGTAGCTTATCAAATGTGATTCTTGGTTTATGGTTTACTAAGTTTAATTTAGATTTTTATCCACCACTATTTCTAAGCAATTCATTGGCTCATATGTAATTCACCACTTTATAGTACTTATGTCATGCTATACCTTTTAAAAAGCAAGCAAAAATAGACAAATATTTGCAAAATTTACTTGTAATTATCTACCGTTTTTTTCATTATTTTGGCGTGTCCGGAGCAGTTGGCATCTCTGCAATTACTGAAAAAGTGTTAATGTAAAATGCAATAACCAAATATTTTTTGTAAAATTTTCACTAGTGAATGTAATCCATAGAAATAATTTATCACTGCAAAATTTATTAAAAATGTAAAATGACACAATGACTTATTGTTGAAAAAGTTATCTTGTAAAATTTTGCAAACAGAAACATAATTAAAAATGGCAAACTTTGGTAATAAAAATAAACACTCAATATTCAAAAAATCAATTACATTTTTTATAAGTCATTGCTCAAAATAAAACCAAATTTTTAATTTCAAAGTTTTATAAGAATTAGCCAACTGAAATTTAGTGAAACCTGTTAAGTTGACTACCGCAGTATGTTGATCACCTGATTAAGTTGATCTTAATGATAGTGATTGCAGCTAATTTTTTCAGAAAATACGAAAAATAATAGGTGGGTTAGACAAAAAAGAATAGGACTGTCAGAAGAAAAAAAAGTCACATAAAATGAAAAAACTCAAGAAATGAAGAAACTTGACGAATTCAATAATTCTAAAATTAAAGTGTTTACAGAAGTGGTCGATAATGACAGCAGCTGACTTTTTTAGAAAATACTAAGAAAAATAGGGGATTAGACGGGAAAAAAATTGGAATCTCAGAAGAAAAAATTTGTTGAAATGAAAAAACAAAGAAACTTAACAAATTTCATAATTCTAAAATTAAAGTATTCGAGATACCCACTTTAATGCAAAATGATTAATGACATTAGAACAAGACATAATCAAAGTGATTATTGCATTCTAATTCTATCAGAGCACTCACAAGTAAGGCCGTCACAAGTAGTCTTTGCCACCCAGTCCCATCCGCAGCATTTCAACTAAACGTTTTATATTACTGATAATACAAAATTCAAAAAATAAAATAAGAAACGAAAAACATAAAAGACTCATTGTAAAGGAAGTTAAAATCTGCTTTTTCCCAACTCATCAATCTGTAAAAATATGCAATATAATACTTGATCTTAAATCACACCCTTAATTTGTAAAAGCTGTAAAAGTTATTGAAGTAAAAACGATAAAATAATAAAGGTTTTGAAAAATAAGAAAAAGTAGGAATTAACAGCAAGAAAAAGAAAAGGTACCATAATAGTAAAAAATAGGTGGAATAATATATCCTCCTTAATAAGTGAACCAGATATTTTTTCTCACAAGTAATCAACTTACACAGGTTACACTAATTTAATACTGCATAAATATGTGAAACATAATATTCAGTAAACAAGTATACTTATAAACATTCTATTATTATAAATAAAAAATCTATTTAAATGAATGGGCGAGTTCTATTCAACAAAGCTAGTGAAGTGCACCCTGAATCACTTCAACAATACAGATGTAGACATTTATCCAACTGCCAACTTCTTTAACAGTAGTTTCTGACTTATTCATTACACTATAATTATTTCTTAGTTATTTTTTCAAAATTTAAAATAATTCTAAAAAAAAACAGTTGAGATAAAAACTTAACAAATGATAATATTCTAATCATTTTCAGAAACTTACTCTCACAGCATCTAATTCAACCAGTTTATGCCAGTTGCACTAATTAGATAATCTATTTTTATTTCAATGAAAAAATTATTTAAAATATAGTCAGTACAAAATGATATATTTCATGACAAATAGAAGTCATTTATATTCTATTCAACCCTAAATAATTCTTTATATAAAAAGAAAGGCAGATAGCCCCAAACTCTGGCATTCAACAAATGTTATACAAATTCCTCCTCCTTTTAACAATGTGAAGCATGCTCCAGAAGTTTCCTGTTACAGAACTCGCCCACTTTTAAAAGTGAAAAGAAACATTTTTTTAAAATAAACATTCATAAAAATTTAATAATGAAATTTGTCAATTAAAATTATTTATTGCTGAAAAAATTCAGTAAAATAAGGTGCTTAAAATTATCAGTGCTAAAACACACTGATAAAACTCCATACTAAATTAACTTGCCCATAACTAAATGAGATTGCATATGGAACTTTTAAAATGATAGTTTAAATAAATAATTCATGAATAAAAGTAAATTAAAATTATTCATTGCTAACAAAAATTATGTTAATTATTTACTTAAAAACTATCAATGCTAAAACATTAATGTTAAAACTATGCACTTAGACATTAATGGGGCTGAAAGGCTTAACCTAGAAATATTAAAATAAAACTATTAAAGAAATAATTTAAAAAATAATACATACTAATTGTAATTAACTTACTAGTAAAGAAATAAATGTAAAATGTATAGTACATAAAAATACTATTTCTATTAAAGAAATGAAATCTATAATATAACTATTATGCTTAAAAAAAGCTATTATGTATGGGTAAAAAAAAACTTATGCTTAAAAAAAAAGCTATTATGTTTAAAAAAAAATTTCTGTATGGGTAAAATAAACTATTATGCTTAAAACATATTATAGAGGTAAGGACTGAACCTATAAATGATAAAAACTATTTAAAAAAAAGAAATTTAAAAGGTAATACACTAAATAAAAATATTTTTATATGCTTTGGTATAAAGAAATAACTTAAAATGCTAATTAATTACAAAGGAATACTAAATAAATAAATCCTCTTAATAAATTAATGACTAAACTTTAAATTTTCATGACATGGTATTTCACCCGAAGAACAATAGCATAAAGAAGGACAAAGCAATCACAAAGAAACAAAACATTAAGATCACTCTACTCAGACATAAATTACACAACAAATCAGGAACCTACTTATATGTATCAATCAAAGTTTCAAAGACTGTATTTTTTTTCATAGACTTAGTTCTTAACAAGTTTTAAGTAGCTAAAAAAAATTAAAACAAGTGTATCAAGAATTATAAGCAAGCGATGAGATTCAAACAAAGCATTTTGAAATTAAATTCAATACTAGTTTATTTTTTTTATAAATCACTTTGATATATTTGGTATAAATATATTCTTTAAAACATGTCACAAAAATAGTAACTCTGTATATATAGTTAATATGTCTAATTATTTACAGGCATTTTTCTGGCACTGAAGGTAATATTGTAAAACTTCAACACTGATAACATTATAAAATGTCAACAAGGATTAACTATAACACTTTGCTTTAAATTTTTACCTAAATTATATCTTAATGCACTTATAACTCCTCAAAAAAGGCTACACGTGTTTTGGTAGAACCAGACTTTGTTCTTCTTAAAGTTGAATATTTATTTTCTCCAATACGAGCGTTATCTTCATATATATGATCAAGAGAAGTAATATTATCTTCAACTTTCAAGACTTCTATTTCTGTTTTAAGCTCTAATAACTGTTCTTGCAAATGTTTACTCTTTTCCAAGTATTCAACTCTTTCTTTTTCAATTTCTTGAGTGAGTTTTTCCATTTCGTGATCTCCAATAAGATCATAATTAACAGTATTATTATCACTAGTCATATTATGGTCAGTATCAAGTTCTGAATACTGTCGTGGCACAATATTTAGGACCTCAACAGGCATATTAGATATATAAGGTTTAGAATAACTACCCTTAAATATTTCTTGCAGTTTTTCTTTGGCATCTTTTTCTGACAATTGAGCTTTAATAAGCTCTTCTTTAAGTTTCTCTGCTTCTTTGGCTCGACGTTCAGATTCTTGCACCATTTTCGTAGCTAAAAGTTCAGCTTCATGCGCTTTCTTTTCCATTAATTTTTTCTCTTCTTCCGTCTTTATGGCACTAATTTTAATGCGTTGTATTTCAGCCTCAGCATCAGAAGCTTTTTGCGTTAATAGCATAGCTTCTTCTTCTGCTATACGAGCTTTCTCTGCCAATAATTCAGCAGTCTCTTCAGATCTTCTAAGAGCCTCAAGAGCAACTCTAGCTTCTTCTTGATATTGCATCATTCGCTGCTCTAAATCTGCTTTTTCTTTTTCAATTTCTTCTCGCAGTTGCTTCTCTCGAGCAAGTTTATTTCTTTCTATTTGCCTACGAACTTTTTCTTCTCTGGCTTGAGCTTTCATTTGTTGAATTTCCATTGAATCAGGTTTACGTCGACACATAAAAAGATCATGATTCCCTATACAAAGATCGAGTATCAGTTTATTCATTCGTATTTTCGAAGAATAGAACTGAAAGGAAGGGGAACTTCTATCGACTAACTTTATTGTAAATTTTTTATTATCAAATGAGATATTTCGAATTTCACTCCATGGAAATGTTATTTTAGGAGATAGTTTGTTTGTCCTTTCATAAATATTTAACCCTAAAGCAGTAACTCCCAACCATAATTCACTTTCTTTTTTATTACAAATTGGAAAATAGTTCACACCATACATATCTAAATCTTGTGCAATTTTTAAATACTCTAATTCTGCTTCATCACGAGTCATACCTTTATGATCTTCATACCAGATTTTAATACGTTCTTCCCACATTTCAGGAGTCATCTGATACTGATCAATAACTCTTTGTGGAAGAAGATCTTCATTAGCAAGCATTCCTGGTTTATAAGAAGCTTCATCATAATCACCGTATTTAGCCTGGACAGCATATGATGCAAGTAAAACAGATGCTTCTGGAGGGCAATAAATATCCATATTCAAAACAGCCTGTTTAACTTGCAGAAAAAAGAGATGTTGAGTAATTTCTTGAACTAATTCCTCAGCCATGTCTTCTGGATAGAATTTAGCAAGAAATAGAAAATTAACGGGCATTTTTTTATGTATTTCTTGCTCTCGTACTCTTTTATCTAATTTTAGCCATGCCACAAATCCTTCATTATCAACATACTGCAAGCCAAAATACCATACTTCCCTTAATCCAATCGTTCGACAAACTAAATCAAACAAATCCCGCCCAGTAGCTTTTAAATCCAAATCAAATTCAAGTTCTGCATCCATTGTGGTAACACATACGGGAAATACCTTTCCCGATGCTTTTTTGCTGCTTTTTCCAAATGGCATGAGGAGGATTAGAAGTAAGTTTGATAATAGGATAATTGAATTGGAGAATATCTTTGTTTTGTATCAAATAATAACAAATATTGATTCATTGTAACTTCCGGATTCTCATCAATAAGTATGACATTTTTAGAACTGAGCACAAATTGTCTTCATTTAAAGAAAATTGTCTTAAGAAATTGCTTCTACTAGCAATTAGATCAAAGGATAATAGTCTGCACAATGTTAAATGCTTAAGATACTTCAATGCATAGATTACTAGAAAATGTATTCAAAAGTACTACATCACTTAGCATTCAGGATTCCTCATTCAATTAATAAATAAAGAAAATTATTCATTCAAATAAAGATCACCACTTACTACAGATTTATTCAGAAAAAGGTTCGACGCTAATTAATAAATCATTTTTGAAGAAAACTACTAGCCATGGGCTACTAAAGAGCTTTATTAAACCGCAAAAGACATTGAAATAAATTTCTCGAGTTCATTGGGAGTAAAATGAAAAACCCACATTAGAGTCGTAATAAACAAATATCTTCATAAAATAAATTTACATGAACAATTCGCCTTCGTTTATGGATGAATACTGCTGCGATTGAACTAGTTCAATCATAGTCAATTTTTAAGAATAAATTGTCTCAAGAATTAAGATTTTTAAACAAGTAAATAATGCATGAATAAAAGGGCGAACTCATCACCAACTGCTACTTTTAGATCTTGAAATTAATAAATGTGTTACAATATATACATCGCAACGAAATTAACGTGTTGAGCTAACAGATATTTCAATTAGGACAAAAACAAAGACCAAGTCTCAGAAAAACTTAAAAGTAAACAGTGATATCTGTTCCATTTTAACATCTAAACTTGGTATTAACTTAAGCTTGACTAGCTACCAACCCATTTGAACGAAATATACGTGCGGCAACATTGCACCAATCAGATTTTTTAACAAACGAGGATGAAAGGTGCGCATGCGGCAAAAAAAGTCTGCTCCAATCTAATATGTTATAGACTATTCTTTTTCTGATCTTTCAACATTTAGAAAAATTTCAAGTATAAAACAAAGTAATTTTGCATACAATAATAATTTTTAAAAAAACTGACTGAGCAATAATATTCTAAATCAAACAAATTGCTCATTTTATTTACTGATAATTTCTGATACAGTTTAATTTAAACGTCGCTATCTGATTAAATTTATAAAACTTTAAAAGAGCTTGTGAATATTTGAAAAATACAAATATTAAAACTCGCTGAGCAGTTAGTTTGATGTTTTCTCTTTTCACTGCTTGGTTGAGATCTCAATTCCCTATTCCCGTTGTTTCTGATCAAACAGCACTTTCTCCAATGAATCCAATGAAATCTCCCCGGAGGTATCAAAGATGAATCCAATGCATAGCATCATCTGCCCTTCGATCTAAATTGCAGGAGAGTAGTGAACGCATAGCGTACACGATGCCGTAATACCTTTTTGGATATCTTTAATAAATCAAAAATAAAGCTGCATGGGGTAGAAAAAACCCGGTTTACTCACGGAAATAAACCGGATTTTCAGGAAGGTAGAGTACTTTTTTTACGCTTTATTTACGCTAGAGCTGCACAATGGGAAGAAAATAATTATCCCTGGAAATATTCTCCGGAACAGAAATATTCTCCGATTCTCTCTGGTAGGAAATTTTTCAAAAATTCTCTTTCATTTTGCTCATCAGTAGTCGATGCTCATTATAATACATTATTATTTTACATTTGTTTTCCTTTTTAGATCAATAAAAGGGATTTAACTTCACTTAAAATAATAGGATATATTTTATAAATCACCACTGTAAATAATTTCGATTCACATAATAAGGTATCATTACTGGGAAAAAAATTGATACTCATAATTATAATTTAAGATTATCATTTGCAATATAGAAATGAAGTTTTTTCTTTAAAATATTAATATTAAATCGCATACGAGAAAATATCTTTAATTTTTACTCGTACGCACCAACTCTTCAGTACTGTATTTGAAATTATTTCACTGAAATTATTCACTAAATCATTCATTATTTCACTGATTCATTTGAAATTATAACACTATTTTTTGCGGCTTATTTATATAAAGGGGAGAAAAAAAGTAATAAGCATTTGAGGTGAATAAAAGAAAAAGAAATCACGCAATCTCTAATTTATTCTATGTGATGTATTTCAATCATTATTATTATAATTATTATTATTGTAATTATAGTTAATATTATTATTATCAAGTGAATTTCAATTACATCACATTTAAGGAATACTTCATCAACATTTTATTGTTAACGAGTAGCTGTGAAAAGCAATTAATTACATTATTATTAATTATTTACTTTTATGCCATAGATTGCGCTTAATGTAAGTCATCTCCATTATAGACAAAAGTTAAAAATAAATTTGGTTTTTGTTCCCGACAATTTAAATTGGCACCCTAGTTAATACGTTCATATTTTTCCATTCTAAGTATCAGAAGCTTTCCCTAAAGAAGAAAAATTATGTTTCTTGAATCTACTGAGAAATAAAAGAAGAAAACCATCTGTGAAGGAGGTAGCTCGTTTCTGCTGAAAACTAAAGGAACATCATACGATTGAATAAGTTGATTTAACTTTTCGCTGTTACTTTAATTTGTCTAAAGCACTAGCGTTCTATCGTAGAATTAAAATTTTAATAATATGTTTTGGGAAGTAACATTATACTTCTTACTTTGCCAGAATTTTCTTTTAACCTCAAAAACTATTTTTAACTTAATATTTTATAAAGAGAATTACATTTTCAATGCATTAAAGTTTAGAATTTTTTTTTAATAAGCTGACGAAGTATAACAAGTTTAGAAAGTGAAGTATTTTTCATGCTTTTAATTTCAGGAAAACTGTTCGTTTTTTTTCGTAAGTCTTATAAATACATGCCTATACATTTTATAACAGTTTTCAAAAAAAAGAAGAAAAAAAAGGGCTTATTCACTTTTAAAGTGTTACTATATTCTATATATATTATCCAGCGACAAGTGACATGGTTAAAGCAGAAGGCTGCTAGTCTTAAGGGGCTCTTCATAGAGACGGCAAAATGGTTAATATCTAGAATGTTTCCCTCCTTTAAATATCATTTTTTAAAATTAAATTTAAATTGAAGAACACCAAATTACTATGATTAAACTTTTTTTTTCACACATTCGAGGAGCACCAAAATTTCAAAAATAATGTTTTTTACTTATTTCTTTATTTAATTGATAAATTTTGAGGAATATTAAAGAGGCAGAAAACTGTATGGTTTAAAAAAATTATTAAAAAAAGTATTTTAAACTGAATTGTTTTGTTTTGTCGAAAATGCTATTTTTAAATAATAAATTTTAATACTGATTTAAATTTAAAATGCTGTTTGGATAAAATAGTAATAATAAATTAAAAAAGGTGCCACGTGGCAGAAACAATTTTCGCAGGAAAAAATTCTATGGTGCTTTAATTTTCAATTTCTCGAGTACAATACTACAAGTTACTTGTTTTTGTAGATAACTGCGTGACGAAAAAAACATTTTGACAAAGGAATTATTGATCTAAGTAATTTCAAATAGTTCAGGTATATTATGTAATTTTAAATTTTTTTAGAAATAATTCTGTCTGCCATTAGAAATTAATTTGATACCCAACTTTATTTCCGGATACGAGATGTTAAGAAGTGCTGCATGAGTTGTAACGTATAAGGAATTACCATTATAAGTATTAAAAGAGGTATAACGATATCATAAATGTTTTCAGTGGAAGTCAAAAAATATATAATCCTCTTATGGTTGAGTAGGGTCGTGTGGAGGCTGGGTGATTAATATTACTATCTGCCCTTGGTTGTAAATTGAGATAGTGTTGTATGTGAATGAACCCTAATTATCTTCGCGATGAATCCGTATCCCAAATTGCCAATAGCCATTTGGTTAACTCTACTACGACGTTAAAAACCAAACCAAATTAATATTTTGAAACAAATGAAAAAGGGGTCTTCTGCTTAATTTTTCAAATTAAAAAGCTTCCAAACACCACCTCAATTCGTTGCATCTTTTGGTCATTCTCAGTATCTGACTGCCTTCCTTAGGACCTTTCGTTGCCTGCGATTTTTTCGCATGCAAATAATTGAATGCAAATGAGAACCAGATTGATGAGAAATATTTATGCTCGAAAAACTCACTAATCAGGTCTTGTAGGTCACTCGTGATTTTTTCGCATCCTGTGATATTTTTTCATTCTCAAAATGTCTGCTTAATCTTTAATTGGCGATCGAAATGGGCTGCAGGTGGCGTAGAGCAGAACTCTTTTCCTATGGCAACAATTCACATGCTTTCCCCATCAGCGTGTGGAAAGTCATAGAGGAAGGAAGTACGTTAGTTTCTCTCTTGATTTTCACATAGATTAAAATCTTTTAACTTAAAAAACTATATGGAACTGAAAACTGCATTAAACATAGTTCTAAAGAAAAGTATCATAGAAATTTTAAAAAATATTTTTATTAAATAAAAGGGAAAAATATTAAGAAAAGAGAAATTATCGTAGTACATTCCTATACAACTGAAAAGAGGAGGAGAGGGAAGGGAGAAGGGCTAAAGGCATGAAACCGGTCTCTCCCCAGATGGCGTATTCGAGTGCTGCGATCGCGAATCGCATTCGCGTGCGCCCGTGAATGCGTTTCGTGAACGCAATGATAATGATTAGAAGAAAGCTTTAAGCTACTAAAATTGAGTGCCAACAAATGCCCGTTATTATTTCATCCCCACCCATCAAATACCCGTTACAACGGTACCTGTTTTAAAATATCTGTTTATTGTTTGTTGATCTTACTTCAAGAATTTTGTTAAAAAAAAAAGAAAAAAATGCAGCATTTCTCACCATAGTCCACAAAAATTCCACTGTATAATGACTCAGCCTCCTGTGTTAACAGTTGATAGAGCTAAAGGTATTTTTTGTTTGGGAAATGTAAACTTATTTTTTATTTTTTTCCTTTTGAGCTGCTTCAGGAGTTCTGTCATTATTGTCAGTTTCAACTAATACATTTATTTTTTACTAATAAAAATACGAGCAAATAAGGCTAACTATTTGTAAAAATTATTACCTTCTTAATTTCCCCTCCGCCAATTTAAAATTATTTTTAAGTAGACAATAAAAAGCAAGTTTTTATTATTGCTCTGGGGTAATTTTCACTAAAGAAATAAATGTATTTTTAGATCAACTGTTCAGATTTCTATTATTTTTGGCTGGTTTGTTAAACCTGCTTCTGACATTAACTATACTAAGTTTCAGATTGTTTGAACCATTTTTTTCTGAGTTAGATAGTTCTGAAAATTTAGATTTTTGCAGTTTTAAAATTTTTAAACAGCTATAGCTTGAGATCTAATTAACGTAGGAAGCTAAATTTTGTGCAGTTTTTTTTTTTAGTTTTCAATAGCATTTTATATAATATGTTATTAGCTTAATTATTTTGAAAAGTATATTTTACAGTAATTTAAAACATAAAATCTATTTTTTTTCTGAAGAATAATTTTATTTAAATCTTTTATCGAAATACCTGTGCCAAATTTTAAGATTATATTCCTACAGAATCATAAAGGGAAAAAAGTCCCCCCCCCCCAGTTAAAGACAGACATAAATCATGTAGTTACATGAATATTGGATATACCACTGTTTTTACCAAAATTGTTTGATAAATATCACATAATGAGGTTTTTACTGCATGATTTATCACTGTTAAACTAAAATTAATTTTTTTCTTTATTATTCTTGTGAATACCATCCCGAAATTTGGCACACACAGTGCTAAATTTAATTAAAATACTTTAAAAAGAGTTAAAAAATTTAATTTTAATTTTTTCAAAAAAATTGTTTTTAAATATTTTATTATAACTTAGTTTTGTTATTAGTTTTATTAAAAACTGAACAAAATTACTTAAAATTTAGTTCTCTATGTCAATTAGTTCTCAAGTTATAGCTGTTTAAACACTGTAAAAATGCTGTGAATTTCAAAAATGCATAACTTCGAAACATATGGCTCAACTTAATATTTTTTACACATGCTGTTAGTTCTACTTATACAAATTAAATACGAATGTCTTGCATTTTGACCATAAATGAATTTGTCGTGGGACTGCTTGGAACCAACTGTCAGGGCTAGAATTTCTTCTGGAAGACAGCTATTTTTGCTAGGACATCTGGAGAAAATGGAAAAAATAACCTATCTTGTCTGAAATAATTTTTTTTTTTAATGGACGAAACTAAAAATAACTAATAGATTGTTAACAATAGGTATTATAAGAATAGTTTTTAACTAATAATTTCATATAGAAGAAATTTGAAATCTTTCCTCTTTTTTTTTTTTAAATATCTGCATAATATTTTTTGTAGTTTTCTGTAGAATTTGAAAATTATTATAACAATTTATTTTTTAGATTCAAGTTATCGTTATTTCCCCCAAAAGATATGTGCATTCATATCTAAATTTGTAATTGGATTATTTTCAGTTCTGTGTATTCTGTTTTTAAATAATAGTTTAATTCGAAAAAAAAAAATATTGCATTATAAAATTAATATTTTTTTTAAAATTAATATTGAAAAATGCTAATTTGAAAAAAAATTTATGTGAGACATTTATCACCTGGTAAAATTTTTTTAATCAATGTATTTTTTTCATGATTTTTAGTGATTTTATATGTTTATTTTGTTTTTAATATACAATGAAATAAATTTATTAATGGCATAAAGAATTTTTTTGCTGATAAAACCTATAAACAAAGTAACAAATAATTTTTTCTCTGAAGTTATTATATTGGTAAACCCTAAGCTAGGGGTGCACAACCTGCGGCCCGCGGGCCAAATGCGGCCCTTCGACTACTGAAGTGCGGCCCGCGAGAGCTTCTAAACACAATAAAAAAAAATTAAAAAATGGCAATTTTTAATCGCACTGTCTTACATTCATATATATTAC